GTACTGTCTAATGCCCTAATGCCATCTTGCTTACCATCTGCAAGATGAAGGGTGTAAGTCAGGTGCAGTGCAAGTTGGGCAGCGGGCTTGACATGGACAGTCTTAGATGGACTAGACAATTGACTAAATATTGTCTGCCTTACATCAATACACAGAAAGGGCTCCATTACCAAATATGTGGATGGGGGTGGTCTCTCCTACTCAGGCAGGCGTGCGGATACTCACCAGTCCCAAGCTAAGGGCCTGGCAGTTGGAATTTTTCCCAGTGGACAAGAAGATTGCCTCTATAACGTTTTTGAAAATCAGTACGGAAAACTCAGACTGCCGGTTGTGTTCATTAAAAATGAAAGCAGGTGCTCAAGAGGGTACCTCCTACCGACTCCGTAATCCTTCAAGGGGACCTCAATTTCATGTTGGGAATGGCAGAGATATTCAACTGGAACACCCTCCCAGGACCTAACTTGAGTGGTGAAATGTTATTAGACTTCTGTGCAATCCCCGGATTATCAATAACAAACAATTTATTCAAACACAAGGTTGCTCATACAGTAAGTGTACTTTGTGTCAAAGGTCAGTGATCACTTTTGCGATTGCATCATTAGACTTGGGGTTAATGTTTTGGAACTTAGGTAAAGAGAGGTTCAAAGCTGTCAACTGATCATCAGTTGGTGGTGAGCTGTGATTTGTTGCACAGGGCATTGGCCAAATTTACCTGGTAAACACAGACAAGCCATGTGGGTTGTTTGGGAGTGTTTGCCAGAAGTTTCGGTGAGGGACAAATGAAGCTGTGACCAGAAGGCTGTTGGTGCCTGTTATGGCTGTAACCCTAGAATGCACTGGTGGACCCCAGTGGTGAGGTATGCTGTCAAGTTGGGGAAGGAGGCTTTCTGAGTAATGCTCACAGAGAGGTCTTGTGATTCATTTGAGATAGGAGAGGATTCACTCGATAGGAGAGCCAGAAGTGCTGCAGCAAAAGCAGTTACAGAAGAAAAAGCTTGGCCATGGGGGAGGGTGGGTGGAGTTTGGTCTTAAAGATGTTCTGGCAAACTGTTCGATGCCTCAGGAGGAAGAGCTCAGGAGGAGACCATTTCACAAGCTCTGCTGAGCAATGTTATTGAGTGATGGAAGGAGCACTTTGAGAAACTCCATAACCCAGCAGACATCCCCACCCTTAAAGAGTTCCAGAATTAGTTTCAGAAATATCTAGTGTTTTGGAGTCCATCTTTCTGACTAAAGTTACTATGGTGGCTAGAAACCTTCATAGCAACAAGGTTGCGGGGGTGGATGAGATTCGGCCCAAGAAATTGAAGGCTCTGGAGGTGGTTAACAGGCCCCTTCAATGTTTTACTCTCTAAGCATGTGTTATCAAGTGGATGTGAGAGATAGTATATTAGTATATGTCTTTTTTTTTTTTTTTTTTTTTACAGATCAGAGAATTCTAGTCTTATAGGAAGGAGAAGATTGCATGTTATCACCAAGTTGACATGAAGTCAGAGCTACTTTCGATTCCCATCAGAATATTCCTCCTTAAGTACATATATCTACTCCCTGTTCTCAGAACGTGCTTATGCACTCTGCCAAGACGCTGTACTGTATTTCATAATTGTGCAAATGATGTCCTATCAGTAAATTACACAAAGCAAATGAGATAATCCTTTTGAGTAAAACTGGTTAATCATACTCCTGTTGTTCATGACAGACAGTCTATAATGGTGAGATGAGCTCTACAAATAGCCCTCTATCTTGTCATCATCCATCCACCTACTCTGCACCCAGCCTTAGCAAATCCTTCATTGTTCATTCCTACACATGGCATACATACATGATACATGCAGTTTTGAGTTACAATAACAACAGTCTGTATGACAACTTCCCAACATTAGTCATCCTAAAAGTTTAGACTCCTAAGTTTAGCCTCCTACTCTGGTAATACTGCAATCGGTAAAACTCAGAAAACATGGAACAGGAGTAAAAACAATAGATGCATGCATTTGATAACAGGATTGAAGTCGAGGTGCTGGTAACGCAGCCTCCTGCCTCACGCTGTGCTTTCCATTGAGGCAATTTCCTATGAGCCTTGCTCTTCTGATGATGGGAGCCTCGTGTTTTTCTGCCTGTTTTATCTGATCAGAGAATCTATATTAAACACCCTGGTACAGCTCCCTGATGCAGCCATCTCCCCATTCCTGTCTTTACCTATCTGTCCCCATCTGAATGTGGCACACAAAATTATTTCCCTCTTTTTTTTCTTAAATTTTCATAGACTAGTTTGCTCAATAATACAGGAAATAAAAACATACAATGGCTCACACAATTGGCCTATGAACATGTAGCCTTTGACAGCCATTCTGTTCAGTATAATAGGCTCGTGTCAAAATGCCCGTTATATTTACCGAGTCTCATCTCTGGTACATGTAAATGTGATTTTGATTGTATTCCATTATAGGCATTTTAGGACATCTATATGGCATCTAAATGATTTATGGATGTATCCTTTGCAGGCATTTCCATTTCACATGGTTTGTTTACTTTACCTATGTTTGAGTCTGGCATTTTCCTCCTCCCCACACTTCTCTGTCACTCACTCTGCTTAGACGAACCCTGCGTCCTCCTGATCGCATTGATACGTCAGCTCGTGGAAGCAGGAAATGAAACTTTCATTCCTCCCTTCACTCCGTGGCCTTTATCAGAGCAATCTGGGTCTCTCCATGCCAGCCTGCTGCTTAATAAACTCATTTTGAACCCTGAGAATACATGCTTATCTTCACACACTCACAAACACACTCGCAGACATGGACACCTACACCCCTCCTTCTTCAGCACTCCATCGAATGTTAATGTCATTAATTCCAAAGTAGTCACACAAAATCTCTTAAGGTTCAAACTGCTGAGTGGGGCAGAGGGAGGGAAAGGTATGGATCGGGGGCTGGGGGGTGTTTGGGAGATAGTCATAGTCAAGTGGACTAAAATGTATATTTAGGCCTACTATCCTCTCTCTTCACTATTTACTCAGTAATATATCCCTAAGCGCCTAAAGCATGGGTCATCGGTTCTCAGTTCTAGTGTCACTGCTGCCATCTATCTGCCACAAATATAATTATATAACAGACGCCATTGTAAACAATTTAAAACTGAACCAAGAAAGATGAATTAGAGCTAAAAGAACAGTAGAGTCCGTGTGACTTTCTCTCATCCCAAAAGCTCATTTGAAAGATGAAAGAGAAACTCAGATCACGTTAAAGAGGAACTTGTCATATGAGATGATTCCTCCCTACCAGAATCACAGGATCTGTCCAGTGCCCACTCTTGTAATCTGATGAATGAACCAGGGGCAGGCCTAACTGGGTACATTCCCAGGGGCCCTGATAACTAGGAGGCCCTTGACTATGGAGCTTGGAATCTGACAAAAGTATCTGAATATGAATTTTGTATATTTGAATTATATACATGTCGCATAAAAGTTTTACTTTTTTTTCGAAGGTGTATTTAATTCATTTACATATATATCTGGGGGTTTTTTTCACTTTGTTTTGGACTTGATAGGGGTAAGATTTCAAATTTAAATTAAAAAAAAAATCAGAAACCTAATATTTCAGATATTAAAATCTTAAAAATACAACTGCCAGCAAGCTAACATTAGTATAGACACTCTAACTAGCCAAAATGTTATGTAAATAGTTACAATGGGCATTTACTGTCAAGTATCCAGTGCTTGACATCACTGTAGAAAACTAGATATTTGAATAGCTTTAGATGCACTTACCTCACTCCAGTTTCTTTTTTCTTTTTTCTTTCTCTTTACTTCACTTCACGGTCATGGCATGAGTGTGGCAGATGGCAGATGATTGGATAGATTCACTGGCTAAATTCGATTTACATAAAGTTTTCGTTTCTGAGAGCTTGATTTTTGGATTGTATTTAAGGTTCTGAATTTTGAGTTCTTGCATAGCAGGGTGGGGAGGGAGTCCTGCTTTGGTTCCTGCCCAGGTTTTACTAATCTTTCCTTGGAATTAAGCACGAGTGAACTTATTTTAGCTAGTTGTGTCAGTTGCTTATCAGTAGTAACTAGGCCCACTATGCATATTGCCTGTGCCAGGGACAAACCATTTAAAGGTTCCCCAAGATAACACACACACACACACACACACACATATTGCCAAACTGTTAAGCCACCCTTGGCACATGGTAGAGCGTAAATATATATATATATATATATATTTTGTCAGTTTTATTTTACTGAGCACCCGCTCACCACCTGTGACAATCAGTCAAATACACAATAACATACTTGAGCAGCAATCTGGAGCTGTGATGTCTACCTAAACTACAACAAACACTAATAGAGGTCCATTGGAGCAGGTATCACTCTGCCCCATGCTCGAGGGAGGAGCAGTGGACAGGACAGTTACTGACAGGTTTGCCAGGGTCATGGTTCCAGTATGACAAACTGGGCTAATTTCAAATACTGTGCACCTGCCAAGATCTTGCTGCAAATAATTGGAATTAATGTAGTAAATTTCAAAGGCAAACTGTGAGTGTACACTTCTAAAGCAAAAACAGGACATACCAAATACTAAGAAACTCTGAAATCCATGTAAATATTTCAAAGGTTCTACTTTTCACTCACGTTATTGCTGATAATAAGAGAATGTAATGAGAACTTTTGTGTTAAATTGAAAAACGTTGCCAAATAGAAGCATTTTCACTAGAGGTCTCAGACCTTTGGACCCCACTGTATATTGCAAAGACTGGGATGGGGAAAGGAGATTATGGAGTGGATACATAGATCAGAAATATGAACTTGTTTCCCATGCAAAGGCTGAGAAAAAGAAAAATATTTCCCCTTTTTCCAACACCTGAACTTTTTGGGCTACTTTTAGGTATTTTGTGTGGGTTTTGAGATGTAGTTAAGCTGGAAATTTTGCTGAAACCTGGCAGCCCTGGTTAATGATATTAGCTCATATGTCTGCACCTCACTGGTGACATTAAACACACCTGCTGTATCTGTGGCCTAATGGTTAGAGAGTCAGACTTATAGCCTGAAAGTAAACTTGAAGGTCGTGGGTTCGAATCGCAGGTCTGGCAGGGATTGTAGGTGGGAGGAGTGAATGACCAGTGCTCTCTTCTAGCACCAAACCCTGCAAAATAGGCTTCCCATTGCTCTGTGTGTATGCACTTGGATGGGTTAAATGCAGAGCACAAATTCTGAGTATGGGTTACTCCACAAACTCACTCACTCACCCATATGTGGGTCTTCCCCAAACTGTTGCCAGAAAGTTAGAAGCAGACAATTGTAGAGGATGTCTTTGTATGCTGAAACATTAAGATTTCCCTTCACTGGAGCTAAGGGGCCAAAACCTGGTCCAGCATGACAATGGCCCAGGTTATGACTGCAGAACAGATTTATTTTACTGAGCATCACCTAACTATTCAAATACTAAATTCAAATTCTAACTACAGAACCAATGTGAATTTTACATGTTTTTCCAGCAGGAGCTCATAACACGGCTATGCAAAATTGTATGGCACTGTACTAAATATGACGTTTCACTTCTCCCTAAACCTGCTTCCCATAGTGTCCCTGCATTCAGGTTTTGGGTCTCTGGAAACTGATGAAAATGCATTTGTGAAAGATAATGATGAACAGAATTTTTTTTTATCTTAATTTTCAATATAAAAGGAAATTGTGTGCATTTAAACATTAGTTTTTGTTGATCTATGTACCAAATCTATATTCCAAAGAGATTTGGACTTTAAACAAAAGTAAATAATAATTTTAATAGAGTAGAGATTTATTTATTTATTCTAATTATTGTGTTTTTCTGACCTCTGAAACTAGTCTTAATAATGTCTAAATAAACTCTATTTCTCATGTAGTTACTATAATGACCAGCAGAGGAGACTAGAGATCTTTACTGCAGCTCACTGAGCAAATAAACTATTTGAGCTTTTCATTAATCCTGTCTGTGCTTTCTTACTGCTCACACACATTATTGTTTCATTAGCACATTTTGCTGCAAAAGGCATCACAACTTATAAACAAGTGAAAATGTATGGCCATAATTAATATCTTCCCATGCTTTATACTCCATAAAAAACTATATTACTTTTTTATTTTAACTTTTTTATAATTACAAGTGAGTGAATTATTTCATACACTAAACCAAATTTAGTCTCCGTTATAATATATTATCCACTCTTCTGGGAAGCCTTTCCACTAGATTCAAGTGTGTCGCTGTGGAATTTGCCCATTCACCCATAAGAGCATTAGTGAGGTTGGGCACTGATGTCGGGTGAAGAGGTCTGGGGTGCAGTCAGCGTTCCAAATTCATCCAAAAAAGGGGATCAGTGGTGTTGAGGTCAGATATCTGTGCAGGCTACTTGAGTTCTTCCACTCCAACCTTGGTAAACAATGTCTTTATAGAGCTCACTTTGTGCACAGGGGCATTGTCATGCTGGAACAGGTTTGGGCCCTTTAGTTCCAGTGAAGGGAAACTGCAATGCTACAGCATACGAAGACATTCTAGTCAACTGTGTGCTTCCAACTAAGTGGCAACAGTTTAGAGAAGACCCAGGTGTCCACATACTTTTGGCCATATAGTATAGGTTATATTGTGTATATAAGACGTTGTCGTGGACATTTTGACATGCAAACCCACTGACGGATCAAATTTTCACATTAAATCCTTCATTAAAATATTCATCATTCATTCATCATCAGTAACCACCTTATATTTGTCTGTCTGATAGAGGATTTGGAGCCTATCTCGGGAACACTGGGCATGAAGGGGAAATACAGCCTGGATGTGATGCCAGTCCATTGCAGGGCACCACACACACACACACACACACACACACACACACACACACACACACATAGCGAGGCAATTTAGAGTCACCAATCCGTGTTAAATATACATTCTCTCCAGTCTTAATTACTTGTCAGTGCGTCAAGCTTTAATTGAAAGTTGTGATTAGTCTTGTTGGCTATTAACACATGATAGTCTCTTTATCCACTGTAATCTTGGCTAATCTAGTACTCAGTCCTTTGGTCTGTCTGTCTGCTGATTCACCTACGATGAGACAGGGATATAGTAACTAACATACAAACATATAGCATCAGTGCATGGGATTAAGTATGATTAAGGTATACTTGTAATGAATAAACAAGTTTGCATGGGATTACATATGATTAAGATAAACTTGTGTCTAATAAACAAGACAATTTTCACTAATCAGGTAACAAAATACCAGAAAACAGAGAACATTTGATGGTGCATTTTATATTTTCTCTGTATTTCATTGTTGTAATATTACTGCTGTATGTGCCCAAACTTACCTTCAGGCTTTAAATGTTCAGTTATTTTTTAGCACATAAATTCTAGACCTATTCTAGACCCATAATGATAATGTAAGCTTAAACAAACTACACAAAAACTTTAATTACTTCATTCAATCATCTTCAGTAACTGCTTTATCCTGGTCAGGGTCACAGTGGATCCCGAGACTATCCCGGGAACACTGGGCGTGAAAACACCCTGGATGGAACGCCAGTCTATCACAAGGCAGCATGCACACACACACACACACACACACTTATTCACGCATAGGAGCAATTTAAAGTAGCCAGTCAAATATTCAAAAACAGAACAAATAGATTATAAGTATTTTTGTTTGAATCATTTTTAGCATCAGTTAGTTCTCTCTTGACTGACACCAGGCCTCAAACATCTGAGGGCAGATAATCAGCTCTGATATGTGGGATTCGCACATACTGTCTGGGTGTGATGTTGCAGTGACCACAGTTGTGTTGTTGTGTTGTAAAAATAAGAGCTGCCTAAGCAGAGTATTAAATGGAGGTTAATTAACATATACAATTTTAGTAAGCTTGTAATATATTCTTTTGGTTTACAGTTAATACATAGATGCAGGAACAAAGGCATATTCACTCTTAGTTATCAGATTCTATTTCTATGTAATTGTCTGTGTAATTTCTAGCTAACTACAATAGTTATTATTTATATATTATTGTTATATTGTTATAAGATTATTTTTATATGATCGTATAATTTCTTTAGTCTCAACAATGTCTTTTGTTACCAGATATCACATTACAAGTATATCTATATTATTATAGGATTGTATTATTATAGTTTTCTTATAAAAAATCTTTAAATCAATGCCTTTTTATTATCATAAATATTGTTACAAATATATATATATATATATATATATATATATATATATATATATATATATAGGTTATTATGTGACATCTTTACGTATTATTACAGTATATGCTTGTATATTTACAAGTTTTATTATAAAAAATATTTTAAAAACTGCATTTTATTATCAAATCCCATTACAAGTATATCTAGGCTATTATATAACATTTATGTATTATTACATTTTAGGATTGTATTATTATAGTTTTTTTATAAAACAATTTTTAAATCAATGGCTTTTTATTATCGTATATAATATTACATGTATATGTAGGTTATCTTGTGACATGTTTTTGTATTATTACATTATATGCTTATATATTTACAAGTTTTATTATTAAAAATATTTTAGAAACAATGCATTTTATGATCAGATCCCATTACAAGTATACCTATGCTATGTAACATTAGAAATCTTTCTGAAGTATATCACACAGCTACAGTAGGTGAGCAGTGACAGCGGGCTGGTCGTAGTGCGCATGCGCGTTAACGCCACACTCGAGCGCAGCCGTGGGCGCGACCTCGCGTGTGCTTGTACGTTTTCTTTCGTCTTTGCGTACAAATGATGTCGGTTTGTCCGCTCCGCTCAGTCTTTGCTGCTCTTAAAGCTTCACTTCCTGGAGCGTGAATGGCGCTGGTCACCGTGCAGCGGTCCCCCACTCCCAGCACTACCTCCAGTCCGTGTGTCTCGGTAAGTTAGTAGTTATTTCAGTACTCAGTCATTCTGAATTCGTTATGAAGGTATTCCCCGCGTCTGCGCATGCGTTAGCTAGCATGGTTGGCTCCTCACATAACTTAGCTAAGCTCACTGTATAGCTAGCAAGGTTTCAGTGTGCTAGGCATGAGCTCATGTCCGTAAGAACTGGCTACCACATTTCTGTGCTTTTATTAACGTGTTTACATTCAGAACTAAGCGGAAGCAGCTCAGTTTGGGTTACTCAGTGGTTAGCTGGTTAGCAAGCTGCAGCCGGCTCCCCTCCTCAGCAGTGTCAGCTAGCTTTGTTCACAAGTAGCTGTCCTGATGACTTCTGTGCAGAAATGAATGGACTTCCTAACTCATTTTATATGCTTTCCTCTGAACAGAGGAGTTTCGTTTTGCTTTAACTTGCACAGTGCATGATTTTATTGCTGATGAATAAGTTACAGTTAGGTTTCCCTAGTTGTACTGAACACTGGGGCTTTTCTTCCTGCTCCTTATCACTCTTTATGGATGTCCTGATCGCATTTTCCTATTGTTTACTGTAACACCGTGCAGGTATTAAAAGCTCTGAGTGTTGAGTACTGATACTCCATACTGATCTGACCGTGACATCCTCAGTAACCAACCTGACTCTGTGTAAACCTCTTTTGCCCTGTGGTGTGATGATAACATGTATTGAGATAAATCATGTGTTAGTGTGCATTTGTGTTGTCTGTTAACATCACACACAGCATAAAATATGTGACTTGGATTGGAAAATGTGTCGTTCCTCATCTTGTAGTCCACGCTTTCAGGTCAGTATTGGCTCAATACCGAAACGCAGTATCGGACCGGGAAGTAGTATGCTTTATCATAGAAGATTAGATGGATTAGATTTTGCTTTGACTGTAGGAATCGGGTAACTGTGATGACACGAGGAAGTCCTGCTGAAAAAATGCGCTGTGTGCTGAACCCCATGTGTCAGCTTGCGTTATATCATAGCCCCGGAGATCTGTCCTCACACAGAATTCAGTGTAAAGAGCTGATCTTGCTAATCAACTAGATTATGTTGACCAGTAGTGTTATTGTGATGAGAGGTTTGATGTAAGGAATAGGGGTTGCATGGTTTAATGCCTTCCCTGCTCCCAGAACACATGAATTCGTTCATCAGTGTACAAAG